AAAGGGTCTGAATACTTAGGACCATGTGATATTTCAGTTTTTCTTTTTTAATAAATCTGCAAAAATGTCAACAATTCTGTGTTTTTCTGTCAATATGGGGTGCTGTGTGTACATTAATGAGGAAAAAAAATTAACTTAATTGATTTTAGCAAATGGCTGCAATATAACAAAGAGTGAAAAATTTAAGGGGGTCTGAATACTTTCCGTACCCACTGTATATATACACACACACACACACACACACACACACACACACATCATAATCATAATATAAAATAAAATAATATTAATATATTTTATTATTAGTATAATAATAACAATAATGTGTATTATTATTATTATTTACCACCACTACTACTACATTTTTAAAGTTAATTTTCCTCAGAAACTTATGAAAACTTCAAAGCAATTTAGTCATAGCCACTGACTAATAAAATAAAAATAAAATAAAATTGCAAAAATACAATTGCATATCTGTATTTTTTTTTTATTGTAAAAATATATCATATCATAGTTATAATAACATAAAATTAAATTTTTTTTAATAAAATATGCCTGTAATAATTTACATTTTCCATGTAGGAATTATGATGTTGTGGGTGAAACTCTAGTTACCATGGTAGAAGAAATGCTGAAGTTGGACAGTATTCTAACCCTTTTTTGTGAGGGTTACACCTTACTTCCTGACCACTCATTTCACGGGAAGATGTAGATATACAAGCAAAATGGCTACAGATCCATCTTAACAGTGTTTACTGCTCCAGCGTGATGGAGAACAACGCAGAAGTGGAGGAAAGGCGTTAAGAAACAGCACTTTCTTCAAAGAATTAGAGTTGGCCACAGTACACGGCTGGTGGGCCATTAGTTCGATTAAGCCCATTCCTCAGCGCTGGATGCGGTCCAAATATCTGGAGCCGGAGCCAGCTTTGTTGGCCGCCACTGCCTCGGTGTCAGCATTTTTGCTGAAAAATGGCCGTGCGGCGCTCAAACTCTCCTAAACAAGGAAAGAGAGGCTCTATTTTCCATGTTTGATCAGCACTAACATTTATTAGTCACATCTATTATGCACAAAATGCCAGCAAGAACAAAGGGCTGTTAGGAGCAGTCAGGCGACACGCGAGAGAGAGGATGGTAATTAAGTACCCTGCTAAAGTAGATGAGACATCAGCACTTGGAGAACGCCAGACAGTGAGATGAGGAGGGGGGCTTCGCGTATCTGTCTGGCTGTTACTTTGTGGTTAATTGACCGTCTCTTTCCCGCTATCTTTCTCTCTTATTTGCTCTCTGACATGAAAATCAAGACTAGTGCGCACACACACTCGACCGATGTTTTCTATTCATAGGTCCACTTCAGACAAGACATTTCTCACACTTTCTTCTTTAACAGCACCCAGTGTAACTTGCTGTAACATACTGTCACATTAGTATACTTGAGTGAGTCCTTCAAGTTAGATGCTCAAGAAGGACATTTTCTTTTTTCTTAAGAAATCCATTTTAAAAGCAGTAATAATTGTAAATCATTTTAAGGGCATCCCAATCAGAAAGCAATGCACCTATAATTAGAATTTAAAATAAAACATAGATAGCAGAACTGTAGTACATTTTATTTATGAAAATAAGATAAAAAATACATTTTAATAATAATAATTATATAATAACATCATCTCTTATCATCTAATAAGAGATGATGTTAACCCTTCAGAGGACCTCAGATGATGCTAACCCTGGAACAACATAAAACTACCAAATTTTGCTTAATCGCAATGTGTAATTGCAATTGCAAAGTTTAATCGCAACATACAATTGTTGCAGTTAATAGTGTTGACCGTCTGTTCGATTACGTGTAATTTGTAACTAACTGCATGATTCTTACTGTACATTTCTGCCATAGTCACCACTAATAACCTACTCCTAAATATAATGTAGAAACTTCAAATTTTCTGTAAAGCTGCTTTGCAACGATTTGTTTCGTGAAAAGCGCTACACAAATAAACTTGAATTGAATTAAAATAAAATAAAAACATTTTTTTTATCGTCAAGCTATGTAACTAATAAAATACACATTTTTGATTGACATCCTGTAATATTCTATGATTGCCAGTAGTAACAATATCTGTAGGAACTATGGTTTTGTGGTGGAAACTTTGGTTTACCATATTATCTATGGCTCATAAAAGTCATTTATTTCAAAATTGAACATCACGAAAAAATCATTCAGCTTATGGTATTAAAAAAAAGAAAAGAAAGAAAAGGAAAAAAAATTACAACTGGTTCTATAAGACGCTTAACGGTTGTGAATTCCCCAAACATTATGAAAATGTAAGTTTATTTTACTGTATGTTATGATGTATAGGAGAAAGCCCTTGCAAAAAGTTTCACGGCAATCATCTTTTTCTGCCTAAATACTAAAGTTACAGCAGTTCATATCATAACACGTCTGTGATCTAGTTGGTTTTAGTCACCAGTTTCGTCAAAAAAAGAAACTCTCTTACACGGTTTGAATCATTTCTCAGGATTTTTACTACTGTAGTAGCTATAGTATTTTGTCTGAAACTTTGGTTCCCATGCTGTATGTTTGTACGGAACAAACAGGAAATGGAGAAGATATCCGAGCGAGTCTGTGTGCTTGTGTGTGTGTGATGGGATTACAGCTCTTCTGAGCTCGGTGGACAGCACAGCGCACGGAAGATAATCTTCTGCGAATCGATGGTAGGACGAGAGCAAGAATGAACACGATCCCCACGGACACTGCAACACTCACGCATAATTACCGCCAGACAACAAATCAATGCTCTCGGTCGTTGGGACCACTCAACCCGGACTAAAAACTCACCAGTGAGACGTACATTCCCTCTGTATATATACAGACTGTACAGCTACACAGTAAATCACAAATGACTTCACAGACCTGTCTGTCAATATTTCAGCTTGATTCCACTAAAAGGTCAAAGCGTTCGTTAACGACGTGCCTTGATTTTTGGTATGTTGCATGTAGAGTGCCAAAGCAAAATGTTTTCTGCATTTGATATCACCTTCAACAAGTACTATAACTTAAATTGATTTACTTTTACAGTGTGATTATCATGAGGAGTTTGTGAGTTAAGGAATGCATTATTATTATATAATCGGTTTGATCAATAATAATGATATTAATAAAACACTAAATAAAATAAAAACATTGTATTTTACAAATATAGAGATTGGATCTAACCTGTCAGTCTTTGGAGGGGCGGTTCTTTGCTTGTTAACTTTTGCATAAAGCCCCTCTAGCATGTCCTCATTGGGCAGCTCTCTGTTGGGGGCGGGTACTGTAGGCTGAGAGTAGTTATGGGTGGGAGTTCCAGGTGGATAGGGGGAGTGACTGGAGGCGGGAGGCTCTCTGAAATTGTTGATGCGAGCATAGTTGGGATCCAGGTCATCGTCTTCGACGTCCGGGAAGACGGCGCGGTCAGGAGCAGGGCTGTTCCTTTCACTTCTGTGGAATTAAAAAACATGTTCTTCAGGATATCTTGGATGAATAAGCACATAAGCTTGGAGCGTTTGTTGGACAGAGATGTGTTAGATCCGTTAGATCCATTTTCTAGGGCAGAAATAGCTGGGTCATTATTGACTAAAAAAAATGTTGGTCATACAGCGGTGTGTTATTTTTGCAAACCCTTGCTATTTTTCACTACATGCTTGCAATACACCATTCCCATTGAAATCAATGAATTTACAGTGAATTTACTCTAAAGCAGGTTTCCTTAACCTGTTCCTGGAGCCACATTTTTCTCATTTTCCAACTCTTCCTAATCAAATGCACCTGCATTTAACTCATCAGCTTGTTAGTAAAGATTCCAAGACCTAAAATGAATGCATCAGATGAGGGAGACATTCAAAATGTGTACTGTTGGTGTGGGTTGGAAAATATTGCTCTAATATAATATAAACTCTAACATCATATAAACAGAATAAGCCAGAAATATCTTATATACAGAAATATTGACTAGAGTCTAAGATTTAATTATGAAATCAAAAGTCCAAATTATGGCAAGTAAAAATTCTGAAATACCATGTCATAACTTTGATTATAACATAAGTCCTAATTTCGAGATTAAATGTTAAAATTGGCATACCAAGTCATAATAATGACAAAAAGTTTTAAATAACGACAAAACATTTCCACTTTTATCTCATATTTCCTACTTTGTGTCTTTTTTTTTTTATCTCGTAATGACTTCTCATGATTATGAATTAGTGAGTTATTATTAGTTTTATTTATTTATTTATTGTGGAAGGCTTAAACACCCAAAAACAAATAAGACATAAGATTGAGTTTTAATGTGTTTATAAGACAACAACCAATTAAACCAATGGGGCAATTATCAAGTGTTCAGAACTCGTTTGATAATTTCCACAGATTCAGATTGGTAAATTGGCATATTTTTCTATTTTATAACTGAACTTTGTGGATTCACATTACATGAGTGGTAAACGTACTTGGACAGAAACATCTCAGGTTCACTCTTGTCCACCTCTTCTTCGCTCAAAGCGCCCAGTTCTTTAGCCTTGGATTTGTTTTTTCTCCCAAACCTTGATGAGAGTTTGAAGATAGCAAGAGTAGAAAAAAAAAGAAAGAGCATGGACAAAGAGAGAAAAGGGGAGGATGTGTTATGTTTTCATAAATGGTGACTCAACAGTCTCCCTGCACTTCCAAGTACCAAAGCAGAATTTGCTGTAGAAACTCTAATGATTGGTTCCCCATGTAACAGCCTGCAAACACACACACACACGCCTGCAAAACCAAGCAGTATCAGTGTCCAACACCCTGCAGTGATTTTACTAGCCCATCTCCACGCCAAACCTTCAGAAACTCACATATTCTTCTGCACTGATCTGAGGTCAGCCGGGGTCTCCATGCTGACAGGCAGATAAAGACAGAAGAGGAAAAGGTTATATCAAGAATAAAGCTAATAATGAGAGAGAGTGGGTGAGATGATCACATGATCTCTGGACAGTGAGGCCGTAATGAAACATCAGTGTCAGATGTAAAAAAAAAAAAAAGTTTAAAAAAAAGCAGCTTCTGGTTCACTACATGGGTGATCAATATGAAATCCAAATAATCAAATGATACATAACCCAACAAGATACCAAGCATTCACAGTTGGATGTGATGAGTGAATCTCACAAAGAAATCAAATTTCTAAAAAATAAATAATAATTAAAAAATAAATAAAAATAAATAAATATGATATTATATTTTGGGAACATAATTCGGGAAGGAGTAAAATTTCCTTAATTGTCATGTCACAATGCAAAAATTCTTAATGGTGCTAAAATAGACTTATTTTCATTATGAAAATATACTTTTGTTTTCATGTAAAAAATGACCTGAACACTTCTTGACATTTTTCATGAGATTCACCCAATAAACATACATCTGAATAACAATGTTGACAGCGCAACATCTATTAACAATGGAGAATTATGCTACATTTCTACAAACACGCACTCAGGAATAATCACAAACCTCAGCTCCCAAGATTCCTAAATTTCTTTTTAATTTGACACAGATATCGCCCGAGGCTTCAGTTTACTGACATAATGTACTTGCATGTTTACTCAAGATGAGCAGTGACTACATGATCCAAACACTGCCCCACGAGCGATTCAAGGGTCCGGCTGGAGCCAGCATCCTCTCGCTGCATCTCCTGTGCGTTATGCCTCAATAGTACTCCATTTCCCAGCCCCACACACACACTAATGACTGTATTTATCTCATTAGGCTGGAGCGATCTAATACCGGCAGCTGGCATGCTAGCTCTGCCTTGCCCTTAAGCACTCTCATTAAAACCAGAAGGAGTCGTGGCCTGAATATCAATGTGCTGCAGTCTTGCTCATTCTGCGTGAGCGCAGCACCAGTCATCACGCAACACAGAGCTCACACAACTCTACTTGATTATTGGCCACTCTACATCATGATACAGTACCAAGTGACCTGATCTAGTGTTGGGCGATATGGTAATTTTTCAAATCGTCATATCGCCAGCCCGTGAGATCACCGATAGACGATATTATCGTGCATGGGTGGGTGGGGGCAAGAGAGAGACTCTCTGTACTTGTCATAGGCTATTTCATAACTATTTGGTGTTTTAAACCACACGCGAGCGAGAGACAGAGCCTATGAAAGCACCACGAATCTAAATAATATACTTTCAAACATACTGGTAAACTAACATGTTAAATACAAAAATATTTAAAACAACTAGTTCATATATATTCGGATAAAACAGTCATACATAGCTATTAGGACCGCACGTCCTGTGACAAGTTTGCCGCATCGACGCGCGGAAGTTATCAGTCTGGTCTGCAAAATCAGACAACGGTGAAAATCAAAAGTAGATTTATTTTAAAGACCAACAGTTTAACACTAAATATTGGACATAAATGAACACGTTAAAAAGTATTTAAAGCAGGTACAATGGGGCAAAAAAGTATTTAGTCAGCCACCAATTGTGCAAGTTCTCCCACTTAAAAAGATGAGAGAGGCCTGTAATTTTCATCATAGGTATACCTCAACTATGAGAGACAAAATGAGAAAAAAAAAAAATCCAGAAAATCACATTGTAGGATTTTTAAAGAATTAATTGGTAAATTCCTCGGTAAAATAAGTATTTGGTCACCTACAAACAAGCAAGATTTCTGGCTCTCACAGACCTGTAACTTCTTCTTTAAGAGGCTCCTCTGCCCTCCACTCGTTACCTGTATTAATGGCATCTGTTTGAACTCGTTATCAGTATAAAAGACACCTGTCCACAACCTCAAACAGCCACACTCCAAACTCCACCATGGCCAAGACCAAAGAGCTGGCAAAGGACACCAGAAACAAAAT